GCTCAGGCCCTGCACGTGCTTGGGGCAGGTTGTCCAACAAGTCCCAGCTCCAGCGAGGCAGGCCTGGGCTTCTGAGGACTGGTGGGGAAGAGGTGCCCTCCACTGTCCCAACCTCACCCCGCTGGCCCTTCTCAGGCCCTCCTGGGGTGGTCTCTTTCAAAGTGAGGCTGGCCTTGCTGGCTTCCTGTAGCCCAGAGCCTGGAGAGCAAAAGGTAAACAGAGGACCAGAGTGGCCGAGAGGAGAGAGGGGCCTCTGGAAAAAGGGGGAAAAGGGAGTAATGTTCATCATTCTGCTGATCTGAGGAGTATGGGGGAGGGGAGAGGTTTTGGCTTTGTGTGTATGTGAGTGTGTGTGTATTTTTCTGGAAAGTTTATAAATAGTTCCAGCCCACTGTTCTGGTTTGAAATCTGCCCTGTCCCGCCCTGCCCTGCTCTGCCAGCTCCTGACAGGGGAGGGGGTCCAGAGGGGCTGGGTCTTTGCTTCCATCAGGGCTGGAGTCCCTGTCCCCCACCCCCAAGTTGAGCTTGAGCTTTGGGTGTCATTTGCATATGATTCACTGACTGTCTAGAATGCCTAGGAAAGCCCCTGTCCCCCCTTCTTTTAAGCGCCCCAATCCTTATCCCCTCCTCTCAGCCCGTCCAGGACTGCCTGGCTTCTTCTATTCCTTGGGTGCCATGGTAGTGGGGTAGCCTGGGAAGCAGAGAGGAGGGAGTGGGTGAAGAAGGGGGGCAGGGCCATCTGGGTTTGGGGACCCCTGGCTCCTCTTCCCTGAGGGTAGGGGGGGAAATTGTCTATTCCTCTTCCCCTCCTCCCCTCCCCACGTCCAAAGGTTTCCCTTTTTTGGTTTGTGGAATGAAAGAAGGGAATTTGGGAAAGGGTTGTGGTCAGGCCTCTACCCACACCCCGAATATTCCTCTCCCCACATTCCTGTCCTCAGTCTGGGGGGAAGCAGACCCTGGAAAATGGGTAATTCTCCCGCCCAGCCCTGTCAGCAGCTGCTAGCCCTGGCTGGGGAAGGGACAGCAGACACACTGCCCAGGGAGGTCCCGATGTGGTGCTGGCAGGCGCGGGGGGTGGGGGGTGGGGTGGGTGGAGGGAGGGGACCTGTTGCCCAGCACCTCCTGTGTGCCGGGTGGGCGCTGTGCTAGGTGCTTTCCAGGACTTTTATCTCTTAAATCACACAGCCCGTTGTTGAGGTAGGCAGTTCACAGACGAGTAAACAGATGCTTAGAGAGGTTAAGTGACTTGCCTAAGGTCACCCAAAGTGGCAGAGCTGAGATTTGACCCTTCAGACTTCTGCTTCTTTCTACTGTCTTCACAGCTCGGCCAACATTTGCCTTTTTCTCCAGATGTGTGACTCTGGGGACATAAAGAACGGATAGCTGGGGACACCTGACACTGGGGGAGGGATCCTGGAGCCTTTTGAGGGTGAGGGAGGCCCCAGCGGGCAGGGGTGCCTGGCTGGTGGCAGGTGCTCCGGCCCTCCCCCCACCCCCCACCCCCCGTTCTGCTGTGCCAAGGCTGGGCTCCGGGTATGGGAGGTGTGGGCCTGTGGTTTTTCTCTCCCTCAAGGGAGGGTGCCCACGGGCAGTGGAGGTGGCGGGCATAGGGTGGAGGTTGGATGTGGGTAATTTGTTTTCCCTTTCTTTGGTGCTGGTTTCGATTCTCTGACAGTGTCTTCTCCACCCCTGGGTGCAGGGGGCCAGGGCCCAGGCATCTCCCCAAGGGTCGTAGTTCCAGAAGGACCTTCTGAGGCCGGGCCTGTGCTCTTCGGCCTGCCCCCATCATCCCTGCCCTTGCCCATCCCTGTTCCCTGGCCAGCCTGGCCCTTGGCCCATTTCTGTAACCTTTGCCCTCCCTTGGCTCAAGGCCTTCCCCAGGGAGCTAACTGCATTGAAGTTTGCAGGCTGAGCTCCTTTAGTGAGGCTCCGATGGGGGTGGGGAACACCTTCCAGCCTCTCCCTGGGGTGTGTATCTGTGGCTGAGGTTTGAAGTATGGCCCAGTTTCAAACTCCTCAGGAGCAGAATTGAGGCATTAAGGCGGCTGTCGTTAATCTCTCCTCTGGGGTCAAGGGTTGGCTCCAGAGGGTCCAGATCGAATCTGCTGCTGCCCCCCACCCCCCCAAAAGCTGGGTCAGGAGGCCTGGGTTCTGGAGTGAATGGCTTCCTGGGCCTCAGCCTCCTGGGCCTCACCTCAGAGAGGTCGGCCCCCATTTGGACGTGAATCCACTGGAGTGCTTCTCTGTGTCTGGGGACCCTGCTGTGTACTGGGGGGCCGGGCCGCAGGGAGGCAGGTGCAGAGGTTCGCCTGGCCGGGTGAGGGCCAGGGTAAGTGCAGTTTGGGAAACTCTGAGGCTGTGGTTGTGCGTCTGTGGGGAGCTGTGTCCCGGGCCAGGCATGCAGGCCTGGAGCCGGCTTCACTGTGTGTGGAGCCCAGGTGTGGAGGGATCGCATCTCCGGGTTTCCTCTCCTCACGTGGCATGTGCGTGCCCGCATGCACCCAGGCTAGGTGTGCAAGCACGCGTGCTCTTGTTCACCGGACGCTTTCCCTGGAGCTGCGCGTGTGAGTTTCTGCAAGTGGGTGTGCGCGTATGTGAGGGTCTGAGTGTCAACCCCTCCCTCCCTTGCTGGCTCGAGTTTCCCTTGTGTGGTGCCCCTCAGGGTTGTGGGGGGCCAGGGCGGCAGCTGGCCGACGGGTGGGGTCCCTGCTCCTCTGACGTCAGCCTCGCAGCCCAGGAGGTAATTGGCAGGGGCCTGGGGAAGGAAGGGGTCACCTCATTCAGGAGTAAGGAGAGAGGCCCTATGGTCGTCATAATTAGTAACAGTCAAAATCATGCTCCTTAACAATAGGGGAGCTGCCCCCTTCCTTGCAAGTACCTGTCCCCTTCCCCCTCCCTCAGCCCCGCATGGTCACAGGCAGGCTGGCTGGCCAGCGCGGCTGGGCGCAGAAGTCCTGGCCTCGTCCATTGGCAGAACTCCTCCATCCCAGGCATGGTCCTCAGCCAAATGCTGGCCATGTGTGTGTCCTCTGGACTCCAGGTCTGAGCCTGGAGCCTGGGGCTTGGAGCCTGGCATGGCCTGAGCTTGGGGAGGAAGGGCTTGGAAAGGGAGGTGGTCCTTATTTGGGATCTCTGTGGCCCTGTTTTCTTTTCTTTTCTTTTCTCTCTCCTTCCTCCCCGCCTTTCTTTCTTCTTAACAGCTTTATGGAGATATAATTCATATACCATGAAATTCACCCATTAGAGTGTACAATTCACTGGTTTTAATATATTCACAAGAGTTGGGCAACTGTCACCACAATCACTTTTAGAAAATTTTCATCACTCCAGAAAGAGCCCCCATACCATTCAGCAGTCACTTCCCATTTCCCTTGAACCCATGCCCCAGCCCCTGGTAACCACAGTCTACTTTCTGCCTTTATAGATTTGCCTATTTTGGACATTTCATATAAATGGAATCATACAATAGGTGGTCTTTTACAACTAGCATAATGTTTGCAGGGTTTATCCATGTTGTCGTGTATATCGGTACTTTGTTCCTTTTTATGGCAGAATAACATTCCATTGTATGGATGTACAACTTTTTATTTATCCATTCATCAGTTGATGGATATTTGGGTCGGTTCTACTTTTTGGCTGTTAGGAGTGCTGGTATGAACATCCACACCCATGTACAAGTTTTTGTGTGGACTTATGTTTTAACTTCTCTTGGGTAGATACCTAGAAGTGGAATTGCTGGGTCGTATAACTCTTGTGTTTAACCTCTTAAGGAACTGCCACGCTGTTTTCCAAAGCAGCTGCACCATTTTACATTCCCACCAGCAATGTCTGAGTGTTTCAATTTCTCTGCATCCTCACGTACTTGTTATCAGTGTTTTTGATTATAGCCATCTTAGTGGATGCAAAGTGGTATCTCATTGTGGTTTTGCTTGGCCATGTTTCTTTCTTCTCTTTTCTTTTGTCTCTCATATATGTCATATGTGTGTGTATATGCACACACTCATATATAAATACATGCATATTTATTGATACTGTTTACATATATCCTCCTGGACCTCTTGTGGATGCTTCTCTTTCTCGGTCTCGTTCTCTGCTCTTGTTGCTGCCTGTCTGTCTCACTGTGTCGTGGAATTTCTGGGTTCATCTCTGTCTCTTGCTACCCGTGGTGTTATCTCTATGTGTCCTCGGGTCCCAGCTGTTCAAACAGGGTATGGATTTGTGGATGCACTGGTGGAGGAGCATCTGGCCTTTCATCTTCTGCCCACCTCCCACCCTCTCCAGGGAGGTTGTTTCTGCAGACAGAGTATGTGGGTGAACTCTGAGATCAGTCTCCCTTGCCCCTCCACTGCCTGGGAGTAGGGGGCTTCCACCCTGGGCAGTCCCTGCCCATCATGCTGTTACGCAATGGAGGTGATACCCAGGAGTCCTCGGTTCCCATTTCCCTATTTGTATGTATGTAAACGGGCCTCCCCTCCGGCCTGTGGGGCAGACCCATCTGGGGTGCTCGGGCTTGGATTTGGGGGGGAAGTGGTGTAAGCGGGGGCCCCCTGGCTTAGGAGTCATTTTTCTGAGAAGTGCCACTGCTTTAGGGAAGCGGCTTTTCCTCCCCCTCCCTCCTCCCTTCAAGCACACGTTCTCTGCATCTTGACCTCAGGTAACCCACTTTGGGGGAAGGAGGGCCAGCTGCCTTCCTCTGCTGCGGGAATCTTCCGGGGTGGCATGGCACCGGGGACCGTTTCCTCTCAGGATTGTGGGTGAGAGGCCCTCCTCGGCTCTGGGCTCTGTCCCCGTCTCCCCAGCCTGGCTCTGCTGTCCTGCCACCCCCAGCAGTGTCTGGGCCCTACTCCCAGGCTGTCTCTGCCAGCCAGGCATGGTGCCAGCTGTCTGCTCAGCTGGGTGCCACAGGAAAATCTCCGGCCGCCCAGGTTGGGGAGCTCCGCGGGGAATGCCTGTGCGCCTGCTCCTCGGTGCCCACTCACCTGTCTTTTTTCTCTCTGCAGCATCACAGGACATGGCCTCCCCAGCCACCTAGCTCGGGCCCACCTAGGAGAGGGATCCTTTCGGCGTCCTGAAGGCCAGCTCTGGACCTTCCTGGGGAAGTACCAGCTCACAGAAGTGCTTGACCAAAGGACTGGCTCTTGGGACGTCCCCCAGCCCACCTGACCCCCAACTGGAGTGGGGGCTCCAGGAGGCTGAGATCAGCCTGCTAGCCTTGGACTGCAGCTCCAGGACAGAAGGGGGGGTGGGCTGACCACCCAAACCCCCTCTGGGCCCAGGCCCCATGACCCCAGGAGAGGCGGCCTGAAGCCTGCCAGAGCCTTCGGCCAGACTGTCTGCCTGCTCTTCTGACTGTGGCTGCTTGGCATGGCCAGTAACAGCAGCTCTTGCCCAACACCTGGGGGCGGGCACCTCAATGGATACCCGGTGCCCCCCTACGCCTTCTTCTTCCCCCCCATGCTGGGTGGACTCTCCCCACCGGGCGCTCTGACCACTCTCCAGCACCAGCTTCCAGTTAGTGGCTATAGCACGCCATCCCCAGCCAGTAAGTGGAGTGGTGGGCATGGTGGGAGGGGCGGTGGAGGGCGGCAGGCCGAGGTGGGCCTCTAGGCACATTTCTTTGGCAGTGGCGAGGGCTCCTCCAGAAAAGGGGGATCGTCGTTTGGGGGGCTTGTAGGCTGATGGCTGTGATTGTGTTTGGTGTTGCGGGGGACAGAGGGAGAGCTGAACAGTGCTGTCCTCTGGCGCCTCTCACGCCATCCCCCACGCCGCCCCCCCCCCCGCACCCCCCGCCCAGTGCTCTGCCGTGGAGGGCCTTATAAATAGCTCCAAGGACTGGACACGGAGGCTGGAGGCGGGTAAACAAACCTCTCGACATTTGGTGGAAATGGCAGCTCTACTGAGAGCAGCGCCCCACCTCCGCCCCGCCCCATCCAGTGCTTCTGGGGGAAGGGGCTTGAAGGCATAGAATCCCCTCCCCTCGCCTTGGCCAGGCTAGGTGGTGCTTCCCTTTGTGGGGAGGGTGAGAGGGAGGGGCCCACAGGCAGCCTGGTGGGTGGGGGGGGGCAGTGTCCCAGGAGGGGGCGCTCAGCCTGGACTCCGGCTGTGGATGCAAGCCTGCTCTTGGCAGGGCCTCTGTTTTCTCTCCGCCTCCGCCTTCTGCCACAGGGGTCGCCTGTTGGCTGGGTGGGGGTCTCGGTAACCTTCCCTGGCTGGCCGAGCCAGGTAGTGGGAGGTGGCGGCAGCTATGGCCAGCTGGCAGAGTCCAGGCCTCGGGCCTGCCAGGACGCTTACAGTAACTCTGGCCCCCAGGGCCCAGCTGGGCGCCGGGCCAGGGCTTGACGGCGAGGGGGGGGGTAGGGAGGGAGCTGGGGCCTGGCCTGGGGCAGGAGCGGGTGGAAACAGCAGAAGGGGGCCGTGGACGGCGGGCTGGCTGGTCAGCTGCTGACCTGGGAAACGTGTCCCACCTCTCCTGGCAGGCAGGTACTGAACACCCTGCCCCGGGCACCCACCGCCTCTCCCGTGGCCACTGGCAAGCTGCCTGACGCTGCTGCCCTGTGTGCCCGGCTGGGCTGGGTCAGTGCCCCCTTCCCAGTGTGGGGGCAGTGCCCTCTCCCCGGAGCCAGGGAGTCTCTTTGTCCCTGGGGCAGGCCCTGGCTGGGCGCCTCACTGCCCACACTGGCCGGCTGCCCACTGCCACCACTGCTTCCTGGCTCACCTCCTCTGGCTGCACGGTGGCCCCCTCCCTCCCAGGCCCCACCAGCCACTGGGAGCAGGGGCTCTAAGTCTGCTCCTTTAGGTCCATACCCTTTGTGCCCTGGGGCAGGGGGCAGGCGGATGCTGCCTACTCAAACCTCCACCTTCTGTTTCCTCCCTTGGGGGTGCGCAGCCGGCAGCAGTTTGACCTGGGAGTCAGAGTTGGAAGCCCCATTCTGGCCTGGTCTTCAGTCTATGCTAGGTGTTGGGGGAGGCCAGTGTCTGGTTTCGGGGCTGCTGGGGAAGGAGCGGGTGTGTCTGTGTGGGGTAGTGTCTGCGTCCATGTGGACTGGGATTCATATCCCAGCTCCAGTGACTGGAGTGTCTGCTTCCTGCCAGGGTGGGGTGTTCAGGGAGGGAGACATCGAGGGTGCTCAGCCTGGTGCCGGTGGACAGCTTGCTCTTCCCCAGGTGATAGGAACAGAGCCCCAGACACTCTGTCCACCTTGGGGCCTGGCTCACGGAGGGTTGGATGGGGCTGGGCCTGACCCCTGACCTTGCCCTGTCTTGTGCCGGACAAGCAAATGTTTTGCCCTTCTTTGAATGTTGCAAGCTTCTTCCTCTTTCTTAGAGGTGGGTGGGGAGGGTTTCCGGGTACCCCACTTCCCATCCTGCTAACCTTCATCCCCCAGGGTGGGGTGCCCACATTTCGGGTTAGGCAATGCCCCTTCCTGCCCCCTCCCTTTGTGAGCCTGTGGGTTGCCCTGTCCCTTCCTAGTAAACAACAACTTCTCTTCCTACCCATGGCCCCAGCCTCTGAGCTTCTCCCTGACCTTCCCCTTCTCTGGGACCAGAGGTGTGGCCAGGAACCTGAGGGAGCCCTGCATCTCCCTCCTTCTTGGGCAGGGCTGAGGGGCCCGGAGACCCTGGCTCTCAGCACTGGGTAGTGAAGCATGACAGATCAAAGCTCAGGCATGGAGGCAGCCTCGCCTTCCCTGCTCTCCCCACCTGGGGGCTGGTGCTGGGGGTCAGGCAGTTCCTAGGAGGGGTGGACATCTGTGGCCCCCATTCCTGTAAGGAGCGATTACATGCTCTGGTCCTCTGCCACCCTTTCTGTAGGCAACCTGGCACATGAGGCTCCCTCCTCCCACTTCCCACCAACACAGGTGTTTGGTAGTCCTCCCTCCACCTCCCATTCCTCTCCCCAGGTCAGGAGGAGGCTGGACCTTGGGTGTACCCTTCAAAGACCCGGGGCCTGTGGAAGGACAGAACTGTTCTCCAGGTCACTGGGGACAGGTGGGTATCTTTTCTGCTGTCGTCTCCCAGGGAGCTGGAGTGGCAAGCACCAGAGATGGGACAGGATCCCCCCCTCTAAACCAGCCCCTGGGGCATGGGGTCTCTGAGGACTGGTATTTACTGTGGAGGGTTGGGATTCAGTGTGCCTTGGGGGGGAGGGTCAGGGTTGGGTGTGTTTTAGGGGTGGGGAGGTCAAGGTTGGGTGTGTGTTGGGGAGGGGGTCGATGGCTTACGTGTATTGGGTGAGAGGGTCAGAGTGCCGTATGAGGAGAATCAGACCCAGAGCCCGGGAGGGGTGTCAGTTTGTGTGCTGGAGGGGGCGGTGACTTAGGGCACAGAGAGTGTAAGGGGGAGGCATCTGTGATTGTGTTGTGTGTTTGGGGAGGGAAGGGTCTCTATTTCTTATCGCTGGTCTAGGCTGGAGAGGAAACTAACCTGCCTTTTTTGTTGCTCCCCTGGGAATTCCACGGGGGTGGGGGGCGGGGGGAGGGGATGCGGAGTACGCTGTGCAGCGAGTTCTGGCTTTGCCGCTTACTAGATGTGATAACCTCTCTGAGCATGTGTCCTCGTCTGTAACCCAGGGATCTGACCAGAACCTCGCTCAGAGGGCTGAGATTAGGCGAGATCTTTGCTGTAATGCACTCTGCTCTTGACCTTGCGTGTGTGATCATCGCTGTCTCCTTGCCGTGGTGCCCTGTGTTACGACAGTGGAAAGGGACCGTAGCCCTTTCTGGGTGGGGGCTGGAGAGAACGGGAGGCTAACATCTATGGAGCACCTACTGTGTGCCTGGGACTTTATCTCTGTTTTACAAATCTTAATCCCGACAATCCTGGGAGAGGGACATTATCTCCATTTACACATGAGGAAACAGCACCGGTGGTTAAGTGGCTGAGCTAAGTGACCTTACAGCTGGGCTGTTTTCTACTATCCAGATAGGCAGCTGCGGGAGGGTATTGTGGGGAGCCCTCCTGGGTGTGGGGAGCTCAGGGCCATGGTAAAACCCCCTCTCCCATGGCTGAAGCCCCGCTTCTGCCTCAGGACCTTCTGCTTTCACCCAGTAGGGGGCGTAGGGGAAGGCCTCCCCCCTAGCCACGCCCCCTTTTCTGTTTTTGATCCTGAAGGCTGGAGGGAAAGACCGATAAGAGGCCTGGGCCAGATCTCCATCCTGTCCTGGAAGCTGCGGATACAATCTGTTCACACCCATCCCTGCCCCCAGATCAGCCCACTGCAGCCCGGGCAGTTTGCAGAGCTCAGCGGGCACCCTCCCTCCATCTCCATCCAGACACTGTAGGAACAGGAGTGTAAAAGCTACCGTTCTTATTTTGTTTCCATTTGTGGAGTCGGGGCAGGGAGGTTGGAAGCTATCTGTAGAGGAGCTGGGGATGGGAGCCCCGAAACACCTGGTCCAGACTTTTCCTTTCCATCCACACATTTGCAGTGTGGCCCTGGGGTCTGGGGGAGCCTGGAGAGACTGGAGGGGGTGAGCCCTTCTCCTTTCCCTCTCCTCTGCCACTCCCCTTTTCAGTCTGTATCCTCCCTCCCCCCGCTTCT